ACTCCCTATCATTCGCTTGTATACTATTAAAAAAAAGTAGGGGATATTTGATTTTTAAGTGTTATTAAAGTCACCTAATGAAACTGACGAAGAAACAAATGACAAAATGAAATGAAGTTCACATTCATCGATTTATTCCAAATGATCGTTAGACTAAGTAAGGCACAGACTGACCATTATAAGGGTAAAATGATACCCGGGGTCAAACAGCAAAGTTACCACAGCATCACAACCAAGTCAGTAACGGGTAAATCCTCCTCTGTTTGCCAAACAAGCATTGATCCGACGTGGCATACTCCTAATGAGACGTCTAAGGTCATTTTGGTCCAGATTGTCCCATTCCTGTTGCAACGCAGCAGCAAGTTCTTGGACATTGGCAGGACGTTGTTGACGTTGACGTAACCTCTGTCCAAGCATGTCCCAGACATGCTCGATGGGGGAGAGGTCGGGACACAGTGCTGGCCAAGGTAATGTGGTGATGTTCTGTTGTTGGAGGTAACCTGTAACGATCCTGGCCCTGTGACATCTTGCGTTGTCATCCTGGAAGATGAAACGGCGGCCATGACGTCGTGCGAACGGCACAACATGGACTGCCAAGATGTTGTCCCGGTAGTACTGGCCTGTAACACGCCCTGCAACAACATGTAAAGCCGTTCTTCCAGCAACAGTGATGCCTCCCCACACCATAACAGAACCACCCCCAAATCAATCATGTCTGATGACGTTTACGTCTTGGAAGCGCTCGTTTCGACGACGCCACACCCTCCTACGTCTGTCCAAAAAATCAACAGTGAACCTTGACTCATCTGAAAACATCACATTGCTCCAGCGTCGATTATCCCAGTGTTGACGATCCCTACACCAACGACGTCTTGCCTGAATGTGATGATCTCTCAAACAAGGGATCACGCGAGGACGTCGGGCGCGAAGGTGACCCCTATGCAGTCGATTCCGAATCGTCTGGCCACTCACTCTCACACCAGTGTCTGTTTGAAGACGAGCGCTGATCTGATTTGCTGTGATGACACGATTTCTCAAGGCCAAGGTACGGATAAATCGATCCTGGGCTTGAGTTGTCGCCCTTGGTCGACCTGAGCGTGGTCTGTCCTGTACAGATTGTGTATCACGGTATCTGGACCATAGCCTGCTTATGACAGACTGAGAAACATTCATCGTCCGCGCCACAACCGCCTGTGTTGTGCCGATCTGTAGCATGCCAAGGGCACGTAACCTTTCATTTTGGGTAAGCCGACGCATATCAAAATTTGTTTTCTGGTCACTAAAATAATTAAACTGATGTTTCCACCCTGGAATTCAATGCCACAATGACTGTAACATTCAAAGTCAGAGTCGTGCAAATCTTGGGTTGGACCCCCATGATGATCCCAAGCATCACCTGCATTCCATGCGGTAGCTATTGGTGCGTTTGGGCGTCACATGTAACTGGAAATGCTTCTTCTGTTAGGTTCTATAGTGACTTTTTTCGTAGTCATTTGCATATTTTAGTATTATGCCCCCAAAATCAAATATCCCCTACTTTTTTTGAATAGTATATTTGTAATGTCACTGAGTGATGACTGTTGTCGACTAGAACCTTTGTGTTTGTAAATTTAGCCTATTTTTTTAGAGTATTAGTGAAGTTTAGTATTAATACATGTACTATTATTATAATACTATTACTAGCCTACAGTAGTGTGAGTAGCATACTATAGGCTACAGTACCTCGTGAGTTAAGGTATAGTATAGATGTAGGCCAGCTTACTGGTTATATGTTAAAGTCATATTATTTATTATGGTACTTGAATGAACTTTTAATAATCTAACCAACCTAGCAATTTAAATTTAACTAAATGAAATGAAACTTACAAAACAAGTTTGTCGTAATTAAAATTAACAATGGGCTGGTAAAATATAAACACATTTTTGCTTTAAATTAGATTTCCCAATAAACAGAAGGAGCTGAATAGATTTTTAATGTGGGAGAGAAATTGCAGAAGACGAGACAAAAAGCCATCGATTCGATCTCTCTTGTGCAGCGTTCATTTTAATAATGACTGTATGGATAGAACTGGACAAGTCGTAAGATTAAAGAATGATGCAATACCGACAAATTTTGATGTGCCAGAACACTTACAGGTAAACAAATTACAAACTTTTATTAACTCATAATTTATAGCAGATAAAAGTGACCCCCCCCCCCCCCAAAAAAAAAAAGAAATTATGAAAATAGACTTTTTGCTTTCCATTGCACATAAACAGTAAATTTATTACAATATATGAATAGGCTTATATTATATTTTTCATTGTCTGTATCAAATTTCATGTCATACAATTTCATATAATTATATACATTATGCAATGAGCTAAATCTTCCTATTGCAGGTCTTTTTTTAAGCCAGAAATGTTTTATAAAGTTTTAATTAGACATTTATTAACACAACAAGACCATAATAAACTCTCGATGCCATAGGATATATCTGATAATTAAGTGGATTAGGATAGTTTGAAGCCATATTTTAATTTAATTCATAAGTGGTGAAGCAAGGCTAAGCTTTGAACAATTAATGCACACATTGTGTCAAACCTTGGAACAATTTGAATGAAATTTTCAATATATTCATTTTGCATTCACTATTTTCGAACTATTATACATGTAGTAAGAAGGCCAGCTCTGTATCGAAATCATTCATGTCATAAACCATTATTCAATTCTCATATATATACATAGGCCTACATTTATCATTCATCTGAATTATGGCATGTATCAGTGGTAAGTATATCTTATACATACTTCATTCTTATCAAAACATCAGTCATATTAACAAAGCTGGTTTTAGGTTGGGATACATTCGGTTAAGAGCTGGAATTATAAAGTAATTTGCAATAAGCGATTGCCATGCAAGATTCCCACATTTTGAAAGAGTTGGACAAAGAACAAGCTAAAAACGAATGTGATTTTTTGTGCAATGAGTTTGCATTTAACTTTGGTGGCTACAGGAATGAAATGTCAATTCGAAGGGATGATTCTGATTGTTATTTGCAAAGTTTCTGTAGTATAATAGCAATACATCCTTGAACAGTGTTATAGGAAGATGCAGGTTCGAAACCAGCCAGGAACTCATTTTCATATTCATTATCATCCATTTTTCATTCATTTCATTCATATTCAGCCATCAGTGTTAAATTCATCAATATCTCATCTCTGTTTTGACCCTGAATCAATTTTGTCTTTTTTTAGTATCAAAAATATGGGACAAGAATAAGTTTGTTACTACAAGATGATTTCACATTTTGTATTCTTTTTTTGTGTTTGTATTCTTTTGATCAATTATATATCTTGATCACTTTTTTAATTTCAGACAATTTCTTTTGGTGAACGACAAAGCAATAACTCAAAAAGAGCGAAACTTGAAGATGTAGAACCACATTTTGAACCAATAAGTACATGTATATCAAGTTCAGACAATTTGTACCACAAGAAGGTAAATGTATATTTTAACATTATCGAAGAAATATATCTAAAACTTAAATTTTCATACAGTATTACATATTTATACCAGGGAGCAGGGCCATGTTGCGTTACTTTCTTTAGATTTAATAATAATAAACCGGTTACAGTACCATACATATAACTGTACAAGGTGTTCATATGTAAACATTGTATTTTCAACCATAATTTATCAATTTAATTCTGGGGTACTGATTTCAGGAAGTTTCCTTAATTAATGTTGAGGGTTTCTTCCTTAACTTTTCTAATTGAATACCTTCTTAAAAATTAAGGTGCAATTTGTACCTTAAGTGCTTAAAGGCCATGAAAAGTATACTTGTGTTTAAGGTAATCCTATTTTTTTATTTATTCCAAATCGTCATCTGACAGGCTTTTCTCATTTCCCAGGTCCTATAAATTACTCTGGCAGTGGTTATTTGCAGACAAATCTTAACACTGAAATATTTGCTGTATTTACAACATAGTGAATCAGTATTTTTTTTAGCAAGGGCTAGAAATGCTAAGAAATTAATAATAGACACTTCACAGTATTTAAACATTTAGTAGAGGCACAATCTGATTAAAATACAGATCTATATTTCGTTTCGTTTTTTTATACTTTCGATGGACTACACTACATGAAGATCTGACAAGTTATATCCGTAAGTCATGTCAGGGTTCAAAAGACCGACCTTTGACCCTATGACATCAGACATTTGATTAATCAATCAGCATTGATGTTACTAGTGGATTACCCACAGTTCCGTGCAAAACACGCCTAAAGCTCACCGTAACAGACCGTTTCATTGACTTATCCCTGACACCATTCAGAACACGAGTTAAATAACAACTCTTCCAGATCCTAGTGTAGTAAAGACAAGTAAAATGAAATTTTGAACTATAAAAACGAAACGAAATAGGATCTGTGTTTTAACCAGGTTGATAGAGGCACACAAAAACTGTACAAAACAAAATTGAAATGAGTAATCAAGGACAAAACTGATCCATAAAACAACCAGTAGCTGCCAGACAGGATACACCCACATTTTCGAGAGATGGATAGAGAACAAGCTAAAAAGGAGGTGATTTTTCCTACAATCAAGGGCCATAATTCAGGAAATTACATTCCGATATGCCCGAATATCGAAAAGAACCGAGATCTTTGGATTATAAGCATACATTTCAAGTTTAATCGGATAAAAATTTTGACCTCTACAGTGTTCACAAGCTAAAAACGTGATAATCCATGAAGTTACAGTCCGATACATGCCAATATCAAAAGTAACCGAGAACATTCAAAATAATAAAACCCAGTCATGTACATGTAACTAAGAGGTGTCAATGAAACCGAGTACTACTACCTAAATCTATTTGTGAGAATTTCAATGAGAAGTAATATCATAGATAAATTTCATTAAAAATCTATTACAGATATACCATTAGATTTATTTAATAAACCACATGGAGAGTATACAGAAGAACAGAGAAATTTTAGTCTACCTCTTCATCTACACTCCCCAAAAGCATATGAATTCCTAAGAACAGTATTGCCCCTTCCTGCAGGGCGTTCGTTAAGGAGGTATGTTAAAAATATTTTTTAATTTTCTTGATTCTGATAAAATCTTCATAAACAAAATATAAAGAAATTAAAAATGGCAATCAAGGCATTTTAGAATTCACAGAAATTTTACATGTTTAAACATACATGTATATGTGCAATTTCAGATGGTTAGAAAACATAGAGGCAGAACCAGGTATATCAACCTGTATGATCAACACACTAATTACCAAAAAAGATGAAAACCCTGATGAATACACACAGTAAGTAATTTTGGATTAGATATTCTTGTAACAAGTTTCCATGTGTGAAATTAAGGTTTGATTCATTATCATATTCATTATCATCCATTTTTCATTCATTTCATATTCAGCCATCAGTGTTAAATTCATCAAGATTTTTATAGATAATTTCACTTTAATGTGTGTGTTTTGGATGTCAACTTTTTAAAATATAACTTTAATTTTATGTAATTTTACTTTAACTTGAAAGTATTATTAATTCAAAGTATGTATACTTTATTTCAGTTGCAGCTTAATGCTAGATGCAATGGCTATTCGAAAACAGGTCACTTATGACAGTCACGCTGGTAAGCTAGTTGGGTTTGTTGACTTGGGGACTGGGATTGATGAAACAGATGAAGCCAAAGAGGCTCTAGTTTTTATGTTAGTTGGAATCAAATCCAAATGGAAAGCTCCTGTGGCATATTATTTAAGTAAAGGATTACAGGCAGAAGTGCAAGCTGGGCTTCTTGTGGGATGTATCGAGAAGCTGTCGGAGTGTGGTTTTGTCATCCACTCAGTCACAATGGATGGACATGCATCCAACATCAGTATGTGTCATTTGTTGGGATGTAATTTTGAATACCATCAGCACGATCCCAAACCACTTTTTCAATTGCCGGGAATTAAACACAGAATATGGGTTGTAATGGATGCCTGTCATATGGTTAAATTAATCCGAAATGCACTAGAGGCCTATGGAACACTCATGTCTGCTAAGGGTGCCATAAAATGGGACCACATTAGGCAACTCAATGAAGTTCAAGAAGAGATATGACTCCGCTTAGGCAACAGGCTTTCAGCTAATCATTTAGCCTTTAAACAACAAATAATGAAAGTAAGTTTTTAGTCAGTAGTGAGAAAAAAATATTTTTATTATGCAATTTGCCAAAGACCTTGAAATATTAGAGAATCATTTTATTTGCTATAAACTAGTGAAATATTAGAACTTGCACAAATCTACAATGTTTGCAAATGTACCATAAACACTATTCTAAATTAAAGCTCTATCCTTCTAGACTTAAAGAAAAATGTATACTTTAAAGATACATTATGGGAGATAAAATAACGAGAAGGCAGTTCTCGCTATAATAGTTAAAAACTAGATAGTGTAAAGGTAATTTGCTGAAAATTTCAGTCAAATTGATCCACTATGAGCCGAGAAAGAAGCGGGTGAAATTTTGGCATAGTCTCTGTCATCATTACTAAAATCATTAATATAAACAGCTTAGTCTCGATTATCCACTTTTATTGATTTAATTATCAACGGCCGTTAGCGGCATATAGCAATCTAATCCAGCCAACATTTTTCAGTCCACAAATTAATAAGTAATATTAACCAATCCTTAAACATAGGTTTTAATTATTAGATTGTAAATTCATAATCTTTTTTCCTCAGGTATCACTTGCAGTGCAGACATTGTCTAGTTCTGTTGCCCGAGCATTAGAAACGGCTGAAGAACTTGGGGTGCAGGGTTTTCATCTATGTGAACCAACTATAGAATTTATTGAGGTAAAATAGTAAAAAAACAAACATTTTATTATCCTATCCTAAATATTATATGGAACTTTATTACTTAGCATAAATAGTCTGATACACAGTTAAGGCGCGCACATGACACAGACTCCAAAACAATATAACTCGTTCATTTCAGGTAATTGATAAACTATTTGTCATTTTGAATAGCCGTTCACCTTATGGAAAAGGTTATAAGAAACCTCTTACACCACATAATATTCAGTTTATTATGGAATTTCTTATAGAAACAAAGTCTTATTTGCTGTCTCTAAGAACTGCTGATAGAATATTAGTGTCGAGTAGTCGAAGGTGATACTAATTATGATGTTGGTTTTAGATTTTATTTGGAGTTAAACCTTGTTGAATATTATTACCTGATCTATGAATTGTTTATTTTTAAATGCATGATTATTACAGGAGTTATTAATTAGTGAACATCATTTATATATTAATAGTACAACTGGTTTTGTGACACTACAGGTAGGGTTACGCCATGACTATCCTTCGTCACGGCACCAAATAAGGAATTAGATGTTCCTGCAAAAAAAGGAATTAGCTGTGACACTATCGTATAGAACAGACAGTACAATGAAACAATGGGACATTATACTCTAATGATGTTACTTGTATCAAAGTAAATTTTCTTGTCATTCCTGGTGGTTCACTTTTAAGATATTTACCGAATACAACACATAACAAATTAACATGTTTACATATCCATTTCACTAAATGTATCCATTAATTCTGAACATAAACTGTAATTATTAGTAATTAAAAGATATTTATTTTGTTTAACAGTTTTGTTAAAGTGTTGTATTTAATTTCTGTTTTTCCTTTTTACTACATAAACATATAGCTTCATTGAATGTTTGGTTATGTTATTATAATGGGTAATCATTATTATCTTTAATGAAGTCATCAATTTATAAGCTTACGTATATTGGCATATTTCTGCCTTGGCATAAAATATATTAAATGAAAATATTTTATTCAAGTTGATCTTTTACACAAACTTATAACTGAAAATAGGAATCATTAACAACTGTATTTTTCTTGTATCTTTTACAAACAAAGAATAATAATCTCTTTAATTGCTGCAAATTTCAGGAAAACAGGATTTATGGGAATGGTCATAAATATAGACAGCATCCTTGGTTTGTCTTCAGATCTCTTTTATACTGATGTGCACCCACTCAAATATCTACTGACATATAAATTTAGCCAAGATCACTTGGAACTATTTTTCAATGCTGTACGTAGAATTGGTAAGATTTTTATAAAATATATATGGGCAAATATCAAATCCACAAACATTTATTTGAATAAACAAAATTAAATGTAGCCCTGTTGTGTTTGCTAAATATATAAAAAAATAAGACAAGTCTTTGATATTATTGTAATCATTATATTCTTGATTAAAACATACAACATACATGTATTGTAGCCAAAAGTGGAAATTTATTGAGATTCCAGCTAGTAAAAAAGAGGTATCCAATGGCAATGAGGGTAACTGTCCTCTGAATTTTATGGTTTTACACGATACAGCTCTTCCTGAAATCCTGCTTGAATGTCATCAACAATGAAATTTAAGAAGTGGCATATTGAAAAACACACACCTGAAAGGCAATAAAACAAAATTAATTAGTGCTCTTGAAAGATAATAACCATTTATTTGTTGTATAATCAAGTTTTTAACTTTTTTTTGTAGGTGGCTGGAATAATAACCCCACTGTTATTCAGTTTAAGGCTGCATTTAGACGCCTTATATGACGCGCTGGAACAAGTACAAGTGGATCCAGTGGCAATGTAGTAGGAATGGACGACACAACAATCATTCAAGCTTCCACTTCTACATATGTCCCATCCACGGTTTCCAGGAATGATGATGATTATCATATGCCTTTAGATGTTGAAAATGTTGATAATTATAATAATCTAAATGTAAAACAGAGTTTATTAGTTGATAATGTTCTTGTATATATTTCTGGATATGTTGTTAGGAAGGCACTACCACAATTAAAGTGTGATATTTGCCGATCTGTTATTGTAAACCCAGTGACTAGATATAATAATACCCATTTTCTTATTACCATTAAAGATAATGGCGGTTTACTTAAACCATCAGATGGATTAGTTAAAATTATTACTGTAGCTGAGAAATTGTTAAGATGTATGTCGTCAATAAATACACCAGCTCATAGTTGTACAATGTTAAAATTGTAGGCTGCCGTGTTAGAAGAAGTTGGGGGGGGGGGGGTAGATGTTCTTGAGTTAAATTCACACATAGATGATACGCATTCAGGCATAGATAACCATTACTATGATTTAGTAAGACTTGTTGTAGGAATATTTTTTAAATTACGGCAATATCACATTGTCAGACTACACAACATAAAATTAAAAGCCAAAAGTGTTCGCCAAAAGCTAACTAAGAGTATTCTGTTTATGGGACAATAAGATTGACATGTCACAACATAAATCTGTATTATATATTATGTGTCATGTCTTACTAATAGTGGTCACATCAAATGCTTATTTTATGTTTAAAATATTATTCATTATTTGTATACTATTTGATTTAACTAAAATGATCAATTTTGGGACACAATAACCCTCCTTCTAATTGAGCTAGAATGTTCAAACTTGGTGTCAGTGTTTATTAGGTGAATACCTTGATGGAGTTCGAAGATGAGCATTTTAGGCTTAGGGTAAGCAGAGATAAGCATTTTGATTGGTTGATGATTTGGGACATGATAACTTTAGTTCTTATTCAGGGATAGTACTCAGAGTTATGAAACTTGGTGTATAGTTTCATTACATCAATAGCTTGACTAAGTTCGATAATGAGCATTTTCTGCTCAGGGTATGTAGCGATAAGCAATTTAATTGAGGTGGAATGTTTAAACTTGATGTAGATGTTCATTAGGTGACGAGTTCAATGATTAAACATACATTATGCAAGAGTTAAATCTGCCCATTGCAGGTCTTTCTTTAGGCCTGAAGTGTTATCTCAATTCTTAATTAGAAATTAATTAACTTATCCAGACCATAATCAACTCTCGATATCATCGCTAGCCTGCAATATTTACTGGATTAGGATCCAATTTTCTGCTCACCTTTCATTTATTATTTAATCATGAAATGGATAATTGAGACTATGTTTTTTTTATCGTACAGACTTTAGTAATGATGATCGAGGCTAGGCCGAAATTTCAATCGCTAAATACTTGGTTCAGATTGAATCAATTTGACTGAAATTTTTAGCAAATTGCCATTACATTATCTAGTGAGAACTACCAGCTTCTATCTAACCTCCCATAATGTATCTTTAACATTTTCTACTAAAGCTAAGCAGAGCTAGGTAATTTCATTGGTTGATGCTTTGGGACAAGATAACTTTGATTCTAACGGAGAGTGATGAAAATTAATGTATAGTTTTACTACCAGGTACTTCAAAACCTTAACTGAGTTTGATTGTGAACATTTCCTGCTTATAGTCTAAGTATAGATAATCACTTTGATTGCTCAAAACTTTTAAAAAAGATATGTGCAATTAATCAATATGTGTCATCTACTTATTTTTTTGATTTCGGCAGGGACACCAGTCTCACTGATGGCTAATTTCAATTGATTTCACTGAATTATTATTATTACATACAACATAGAAGACAATGAGATTTATTTATATTGTTTTTAAATGACAGTATTGAAAAAGAAAATCAAAACAAAAATCTGTTCGAATCAACTTGAAAACTATTTGAATATTTGTGTAAGCATTAATTTTTGACTTTTTATATGCTCACATTTTCATTTGGGCATGTGTTGTTGTTATGGTTACATATTTAAGAAATCTCAGACAAGATTTCAAATATTAAAATATAGTTTTGTCACATGGTTATGGTTGCAAGTTTAAATTTTTCGAGAATATTTCTGCATTATAAATATAATATTTGTATTTACCTTTACTGTAGGCCTACTTTAATATTTAGATGTTGAATACTTATCAATTGTTTCCCATTACTTCATTGATTTCATCATCATATTCATCATACTAAAAATAAAATTAACCAGTTTTTTTAACCATAAAAAGAAAAAAAAAAAAAAAGAAAGGGGGAGGAAGGCCTATGGAGCCTCCCTAATCCAAACTGGTAAAGGTATGATGTTGTTTTTATTTTATCACTGCTTCATAGCTCAGAAGGTCAGATTTGAATGGATAAATATAACAGGTGAGGTATTATTTGTCCGCTTATTAATAGCCCAAGCTCCATGCTGGAATGTTGGGGGGCGGAGCAGTGCTTGTTGTAAACGTAGCTGATGCGAAAATCTACATCATCATTGAAAAATAGATAACAAACTTCATCTCTCAACACATCAATAGGCCCATATCTCAACGTTTTTACTAAATAAATTTTAGCTATTGCCTATGATATTCTCGTAGCTACATTGAAAAAGAACCGAGGAAAGGTAGGTTGACCTACCCTTGATTCTTATATAGTCTCTCAGAATAATAAACTACGGGCGCCTGTATAAAAAAGGGACTGAAGAAATATTTTAATACACAAAAGGAAATAACTTACCTACCGGTACCATTAAAATGCAGTATAGGCCTAAATGACGGCCTGGTTTGAAAACATTCTTTCGTACGTAACTTGAGCCTGCCTAGGCCTGTACGCCTATCTTTTTGCTGGACGGACTTACGACTAGCATATTATTTGTGTGCTTTGTCGATCATCGAGATTCCATAAATTCAAAAATAAAATACCAAAATCATGGCCCATCCATCCAGTGATTTTAATTTGTAGATGAAAATAATAAGTTAATTTGGACATGCAGACATGGAATACGTAACGTAATATGTTATGTTTCATCGTGGCTGCCAGTAGGCCTACAACGCCTATAAACTGCTTCGCTTCGAGAGTCATTCCAGAAAATTGAAGAATAAAGATATATATTAAGTTTTACAAACCGGTAGAACAAAACCTGTGAGTATGATGTATGGCAATGACTTGTTTTACGACCCTTCTTTCTTTCAAGCGTAACGTGAAACGAAGCTGGATTCATTGAGTTCACCGCGCGCGACGTCAACAGAATCAATGCACAAAGATGGCGGTCGTATTTACATGTCGCGGGTCACGTGACGGCCATTCTAGTCTATTTATATATTTCTATGAGAATGGTATCTTTTACCCATTCTACACCTCCACGTACCATTTTATAGACCCATTTACACTAAATAGGAAATATTATTTATCCAGATATACTTCAAACACCTTTATTTATTTTTCTAATACTTCAAAAAAAAAAAAAGTTCTAGAATTCAATTTGCAGAAGGAAAAAAGTTAATATTGTGGGCTAACTAACTCGCACCGATGTCACCCGCGGTCAGGCGAATATAAGATTTAGATTTAGAGCTGACCGTTCTTGCTACAATATTTCACAAATAGATAATGAAAAATGTGTAAATTTTAAAATTTAATTCAAATTACTTTATTCTGAGTCAAGTTATCACATTTTGTAAAATGAAATGAAATGAAATGGGGTTTAACGTCCTACTGTTCTGCTCCTAACCTGGGCTAATGAAGACGGGCATACGCCATACAGTGTGCTATGAGGGAAATTTTGCCCGGACAGCGGCACTATGGCCTTCTCTTATATTGAATTCCAACTGCCAAGGGATCTTTTACGTGCACGCCAATGTGTACACGGGACCTCGGTTTTTCATCCCATCCCAACGACTAGACAGCTTTCCTTGTCAGCCCCTCCGTCCTGCATCACTGACAAGGGAGAACCACGCCGGAAAATCTGGATGAACTTTCTCGGCCAATGCAGGGATCGAACACCCGACCTCCAGGCTAGCGAGCTAGCGTCTTACCCACTTAGCCACGCGATCCCCATCACATTTTGTAGTTTTGACAAGATGTGTGCATTGATTAATATCGTAACCACGGTACTGGTATATTCTAGTCTTAGGCCCGCTTCTCCATTTTTAAATTAAATCATTAAATGGCCAGACTACTTAAAATCTTGAGCATCCGGTGGCATTAAGAGTTGGTTATGGTCTTGTCATGTTAGTAAATGTCTATAATTGATAATTTACATAACATTTAAAGATACATTATTATTATCATATTCAAATATCATTTTCTCAGTATTTATTCAATACAAACGTCAAGTGTTTGCTAGGGTAAAGGCTTTTATCGTCCACTCAACACAAACTATGTCATTTCAGGATTAACGTATTTCAATAATTCGCTTGCGTGTGGGTGTCTTTAGCGGTGGGTAGAGATAAGAGAACCCGCAGAAAACCCGCGAGGTTTGCCAAGCGACCAAACTCAGTATTGGGCGATAAGTTTTAAAAAGCCTGTAAGGATAGCTGCACAAGGAAACCAGACATAGAACAAACAAGACACTGACGTAGTAGAGACAATTTGAATAGATTATAAATAGGCTTCTACTATCCGGGCAATTTGTTTCACAGAGGATTACGAATTTCTTCTAATATCTCTGTAAAAGATGACTGCCTTCAACATGTGACATCACATCACGCGACGTCAATCATTGGCCCAATGACGCGTGCATTGTTTACATAAGACGTTACTGAATAGGGCAGAATGCTGACTTTTACTCATTTTAATACCCATTTACACTAAATAGGAAATAATTTTTACCAACAAATACTTCAAACATCTTTATTTATTTTTCTAATACATAATAAAAATGTTTTAGAATTTAATTTGTCGGAGGAAAAAAGTTAATAAGTCGGATAGATGTGATCCTTATCAGTGATTGTAGCGGCCTAGCGAATATTCACTGCAGATCAATGTGCTATCCGGGGTGGACAATTCTGTTTTATCACATGATCCTAACATTATTAATTAAAAATCGGTTTGACCTATGACGTAGTGTGGGGGTTTAACAATACCTCGCATTAATAGATTGACTCAATCTAAATCTCCTAAATGGACGGTTGGATAATTAGCTTGATTTGGGTTCCAAACTTTCGTTGTCGTAACTTTTGTCGATGCCACAGAATTTTGTATCGAAGAGTTTGACTTTCAATAGTATAAGGATTCTCAACCAGTGTGCCGCGAAATCTTCCTAAGTGTGCCGCGAAATCTTCCTAAGTGTGCCGCGAAATTTTGAACGGCACACTAAGAAAATGCGAACTACGTGATCCCAATTGAGTATTCACTGGTGTCTACTGATAAGTTTATTTAGTTTGAATCATTCTATGTTTCTATAGTCTCTGTCTATGGTTGTATGCTGCCTGACGTTTGCAAAATTCAAATATTTTTCATATATATTTAGCCATGTGTGCCGTATTTTTTTCATGTGTTCCAGGGTGTGTCGTTTGCAAACAAAGGTTGAGAACCACTGCAATGAAATGAAATGGGATTTAACGTCCTACTGTTCTGCTTCTATACTGGGCTAATGAAGACGGGCATACGCCATACAGTGTGCTATGAGGGAAATTCTGCCCGGGCAGCGGCACTATCGTCTACTCTTATTTCGAATTCCAACTGCCAATGGATCTTTTACGTGCATTCCAATGTATACACGGGTCCTCGGTTTTTCGTCTCATCCGAAGGACTAACCACTGCAATAGTACATAGTCTGCTATAGAGAGTTTTAATTTGTATAAATACTCGTTTTTCCATATTTTATTTTATTTTTAAATATTTGATATACATAAAATAATATTATTTAATATTAATAGTGTTACCTGTGATATTTGTTTTTATTTATGTATATTAATATTTTGTGATTTCATTTAATGTGTCTCGTAGATATCAACCATTTGTTTGGCGCAATATGTGGGATAACGGTGGCTAAGTGAGGTAAGGCGCTGGCTCGATAGCCTGGAGATCGGGAGTTCGATTTCTGCATTGGCCGAGAAAGTTCATCCAGATTTTCCGTCGTGGTTCCCCCTTGTCAGTGATGCAGGACGGAGGGCCTGACAAGGACAGCTGTCTAGTCGTTTTGATGGGACGAAAAACCGAGGTCCCGTGTACACATTGGCGTGCACGTAAAAGATCCCTTGAAAGTTGGAATTCGATATAAGAGTAGGCCGTAGTGCCGCTGCCCGGGCAAAATTTCCCTCATAGCACACTGTATGGCGTATGCCCGTCTTCATTAGCCTAACAGAACAGTAGGACGTTAAACCCGATTCCATTTCATTGGCGCAATATAGCCCGGTTGGAGCTGATGTGTCATAAAACATCATTTCATTCATTTCATTTCATTAAATCTATTCTTCAGAATTAGTATCTTACTAGTGCGGTTCTCCTACACTGTAACAAAAATTTCCGTGAAAAAACGTAAAAAATTCCGGAAACAAAAATTACCAGGAAAATTTTATCCGTATTTGTTTTTCCTGTAATTTACAGAAATTCCTTCAATTAACATAAATTCCATTTTCAAATTCAGAAAAAAAAATTGGTATTTTACTAGTGCGGCCCTCCTATATTCGCATTCTTCAGAATTGGTATTTTACTAGTGCGGCCCTCCTATACTTTTACCTGTATGTAGAGTTTTAGAACTTCGTGATGTAGACAGCTCTCATTGTTGATAACACTCACCCCGTCGATCGCCCGGCAATAGCCATCAATGTATTATAATTTTGGCGATTAAAGTTTAGATCTTGCGATTTTTTTGCAAAAACCTATTTCCTTGCCAAAATCTTGTTTATTTTTTTTTTTCGTCCACCCGTTTTGATCCGTTACAGTTGCTCAGTCATTATTATCACTCAATAATAGGGCTATATAATGTCAGTTAATCAATCTTGGATTAATGTGGATTAATAAGAGTAGTTATAAGCTAATTAAGATACAAAAGATTTTAAAATCTAGACATATATATGTGACTGTCGTTAGTTTGTCTGTCTTTTCATGGTTGGCGTCTACACTAGGGCTGTCCCGAGGCTGAAATTTGGGGTATATTGGTAGCTCGGACCTGGTGGCGTTGGCTACCGCTTCCGGTTTCGAAGTTATGATCCCCGGGATTTGGGCCCCGCGCGAATTTCAAGCCAGGCATCCTTCTATACTCTTAAAAAAGTAGTGGATATTCAGAAACAATACAAAACTGCGGAAATGCACTGCTGTTTTTATTAGAGGTAACCAATGTATGTTAATAACAGGCCAATTGCCTATACATGAACATAAACAGTTCATATAGGCGGCTTAGCTGACGGCCCCATTTTATTCGCAAAGAGATACACCGTCAAAAGTGAAAATGGACGTTTTTGATTTTTGTCTTAATAATGAGTAATTGCTCCACAAATCCTCAGACATTCAGCAATTCGTCGTGGTATGCTCATAACCAACCGTCCAATCACGATTTGGGGCAATCTGACCCACTCCTCTTGCAGTGCCACGGCAAATTCTTGCAGTGTTGTCGGTTGACGTTGACGTCGACGAACACGTCTCCCTATCAAATTAAACGTAACACACTAAAGCAACGATACGCTAAGCAGTAAATATTATGCAAGAACCGATAGGAAAGCAAACATGGATAGATAAACCAGCACGCGACAGTTTTCTTCAACTCTTCCTTGAAGTGTCAAATTTGACGATGAACCCCTCCCACATGTATAGCGCTATTGCGTGTCGCATGTGCAGCTCGGTAGTTCTGTTGGGGCGATAAGTTCTTCATCTGTGAACATACTCTCAACGCATGTGAAATGTCCATGACTATTTATCATATGACAACCTGCATAGGTATTTCCATCCTACCTTTTTTTTAAGAGTATAGTAAAACTACATTTATCTTCAAATACGAACTGGTGGCTTATTGAAAGCTTCCACATCTAATTAAAATGGCGGAGATTATGAACGGTTTTCGGGTAAAATAGAACTCTAGGTCAGCATCGGTTGTCGGGCTTTACTCCTGTTTACTACTCACTACTATTTTTATTCCTAAATTATTAAGTTTTAGCCTTTTCTGAAATTCTATCCCGATTATCTTCCTTATTATTTGTATATTTTTTTCAATCTATTGATTTTAATAACTGAATTATTTATTTTTAGCGATTTTTAACACAGAACTAGCCATTAGTATACACGAGTCTCGGGGGTATATAA